TTGCAGTTTTATCAATATTAAGACAAGCTAAGTCTGGCTCAAGTACACAATACTGGCATTCAATATAATTACAGTACTTTAGATGTCTGTTAGATTTGCTTGTAGAGCGTTACTTCCATTCGTTGGTCACAAGGCCAGGTCAACAAGTCACTTAATAAGGCTCAACCTCATTAAAATACTAACACAGGCCCAGAGTATTTTATATATATATATATATATATATATATATATATATATATATTATATATATTTACCCTTTGCCCCACTCAGCAAGATGTGGCACAAGGCCGAGTTTAAAGTAGGGTATCAGAGCCCGTAGGCTCGGGCGAATATTCCCTACAGAACACGTAAAAACGGAGAGTTACCCGAGACGAGACGAGACTCCACCTCTCGGCAGAGCCTCGTCTGGGGAATACCCTCTGACATAAGCCAGGTAAGTATATATATACAAGTTACTCTGGAATATTAGTGTTTAAGACTTTTTATTATATATATATATATATATATATATATATATATATATATATAGAGAGAGAGAGAGAGAGAGAGAGAGTCTGTTTCTTGATAAACAAAATCCTCAGATATGTGCGTTGTGTTTTGTCAACATTTTATATATACCGGTCATTGATACATTGTGGTTAATGTATTGCATTTTGGGTAATCTATTCTAACGGTTATTTTGGCAGGCGCGGTTTGTTAATTTATTTATTATTTATTTAGTTCATTTAATTATTTATTTATTTGGATAAATTTATTTTATTTGTTTTTGTCAATTTATTTTATTTTATCTATTTTAATTTATTCTTGTTAATTTTCAATTTTTAGATAACGTTGTAAAAATTGTTTTCGTATCATCATTCTGAAATGGGTTCTGATCGTTTATTTAGTAGTTTGTTTTGGTCTGAATGGTAATTATAGCTATATTTTTACTTCAGTCATAGTTTACAGTGTTTTGATTGATTGCTGTAGCTGATGTTCTTTTCTTTATTTTTCCATAGTATTTCTCTCTACATGTTTACCTTTACAAAAAAGCTTGATCTTTAAACATATATTACTTGTAAATTTCGTTTTCTTGCGTATACAACATTTCTATTTAAATTTTAAGACTTGTCAAAGTAATCGATGGATTTTACGTCACGTGCACTCTGCATGCCCACAATCGTTGCAGATGTACACGAGGCGTCATAACAAAATACTGGAAGTGGCCATTGACTTAGTCAGTAGACCGTGTGAAGAAACACACAAACAGCATGTAAGGGTAAAATAATCTAAGATCCGTTTTCACAAGGAATGTGAACAGCTTCTGCGGAAGACCTAAATATCTCCCAACATGACGCTGCCGTATGGAGCTCGTAATTGGAGAGTGTTAGCTGATGTTAGAACACATCAATTTCTGGTACACATAATTCACATAAACACACGCCCTGACATTGTACTGTGGTGTGATTCAAAGAAGTGTGTCCTCCTAGTAGAATGAACGGTACCATAGCAGGAGAATAGGGAGGAGGCGCACGAGCGAACGAAAAAAACGCTACGAATCGCTGTCATGCGACTGCGTGGAAAAAGGATGGACATGTCGCGACCTACCTATTGAGGTCAGGTGTCGTGGATCGTTTCCTTCGTTGTGCATCAATGGCATGGATTCTAAAGCGTGCTTCACGTCGTCTCCAAACCACAGCTAAACAGGCATCAATTTGACATAAAAACTGTGTTATCTCCCCTAGTTGGCGGGGACAGGGTATCGTACGCGCTTTCACACGTTGTACGTAGACAATTGATATATATATATATATATATATATATATATATATATATATATATTATTATTATTTTTTATGAAATTTAAAATTTAATTTGTTTTACTGAAAGATGGATACTAGAATACAAGTAGATGTTCTGTTTCTTTATTTAAAGTGATTTTTTAAAGATCAGGTCGGTAAATATAATTAAATAAAAATACTGTTTAATTAAATAAACTTACTATTACACACACACACACACACACATATATATATAAGTGAACATAGAAGTCAACACTTAGAGGCGACTGTCTGTTTCATGCTATATGCAATCGTCAATCGTGGCCTGACGATTGCATAAAGCATGAAACAAACTGTCGCCTTTAAGTGTTGACTTCTATGTTCACTTTTATGTTTACACACGCTCTATCTCTGATATTGAGCACTTTATTCCATAAATATAGCACACCTTAAGACTATATTTCTTTATATATATATATATATATATATATATATATATATATATATATATATATATATATATGTAGGATTAAATAATATAAACATTGTCACTGAGCTGATAGGTGTTATATTCAGCACCTCTACTCTGGACATAAATCGACAGGACGAGGTCTTAGCGATTTTCTTGCCATTATAACCATCAATGGCTATCCGATACATCGAATACCTTGAGGGAATGGTATTAAAATCCACATTACTAGGGCCAACACTATGGCTAAGATATGTAGATGACACCTTCATACTCTGGCCACACCAGGAAGATGTCCAGCTACTAATGGACTATGTGAACTCAATAAGATCATGAATACATTTCACAATGGAGAAAGAAAACAACAACAAATTCGCCTTCCTGGATGTACTAATATCTCGAACAGAGCATGGGTTCAAAACATCCGCATACCTCAGGCCAATATTCACCGGACAAATCCCTCAACTTCAACTCCCACCACCCATACAGTGTAAAGAAAGAGAACGTCCGCTGCTTACAACATCGAGCAAAATCATAATTAATGACCCTGAGACATATAATCAAGAAATGGTCAGTATAAGCAGTATCCTACAATGTAACAATTACCCCGAGTACATAACAGCAGCTCCGACACACTGGGATAGAAGGATACAAGTGGATAACAACACACAGAAAACAGCTTCGGCCTGCCTACCCGATGTGAAGGGATTATCGGAGAAAATACAAAAGATCTGTGGTCCATATAACATCAGGACAAACTTCTAAAGTGATTCAACACTTCGCAGACACCTCTTGCGATTAAAATCCTCCCATAGAGGAGAAAATGACTAAGAACTGTATGTACGCCATCACGTGCAGCTATGATAAGAAATATAAAAGAAAAATAGGCTGGCCTCTTAAGGTAAGACTGCAAGAACATCGTAAAACAGTGAAACGATCACCGCCCCCCTGTGGGATGAGGCTGAAATAATAAGAGAACATCACTGGAAAATACGAAGACTTAAGTAACCAGCATATATTCTAGTCCACAAAAACCTCCTGAGCCGACCAAGCATAGAAATGAATACAATATGGGAACCAGTAGTAAGAAGTGCTAGAGAAAAGAAGTGAATATCAACAGAAAATTGCAATATAAGCTCTGGTAAAAATAAGAAATAATATTAACAGAAAAATTCTAATATGTAAAAAAAAAAAAAAATTGCTGAGACATGAGGTTTATAAGTCCCAGAAATTCATATACAGATATCAAGATGGTCCAGTGGATAAAAGCGTTGATTAGATCCAGAGACTAGACACAAAGAATTGTGAGTTCAATACCAGGCAAAACTTGGGGAGTTGAGTTAAAGGGAAATAACTGAGACATCTGGAAGGCGCGTGGACGACACAAAGAGTCCCATTAAATATCCCAATCACCTGAAGAAGGCCGCAGAGTACGGTTGAAACTTTGTGAATATGGTAATGAAAAAAAAATATGCCAGTCAGAATAATGTAAGTAACCAATAGAAAGCATTCTTATAATGAAAATGAGAACATCGAATATAACATCAATCAGAGAAGTGAATACATTTATATTTATCATATATATATATATATATATATATATATGTACTCAGTGCCTACCCTGAATAAAATAGATCAGTAGCTACATTTTCTTTTGTGGCACAATATTCACCAAATCCAACAAAATTATGAAGTTTACTCTGATTATTATTTATAAAATGCAAAATATTATTTTTTGTAGATTTATTATATAAAGGTTACAAGCTGCCTACCTTGAGTAAGTACTGACAGCTCATGCCTGGTTTCTCTCTCTCACTATACTACACACACACACACACACACACACATATATATATATATATATATATATATATATATATATATGTGTGTGTGTGTGTGTTGTGTGTGTGCAAAAATGTGAGGCACGCAGGTACATTAATAAATTTTTTAGGTTAATGATGAAAAGCTTTTACTGCACAATAAATATTTACTTTTCAGTACAATCCCATTCTTTGTTAAGGCACTTAATTCAATGCTGGCTATAAATAACATAGCTAAATTATACAGTGAAATTCATTCAGTCAATGACCACATGACAGTCCATCATCATCTTTTTGTTTCAACATCGTTAGCCATTGGAATTATAGTTTACCCTTCTCAATCGAACAGCCTTTATTCATCCTGGTTAATATTTGTACGTCGTATCTTCTGATGTTTAAAGATTTCTCTGTAGGTATTGCGTTATGTGGAGACTGAAATATCAGGTTATATTCTAGATAACATATTGTTGTTTTGTTAAGAAGAATTTCTAAATGTTCACTCAATCGTATACATGTATATAATCAAAACAAGTCCTTTGTGTTTTGATGATACAAGACTATTCCTCGTTTCTCCTGTTATTTTTGTGACGTTTACTATTCTTTCTCCCATTGCTTTCCTTGTAGTAAAGGCCACGCCCAGAACACCAACCTCTTCTAACCCGGAGAAATTCGCTCGAAATTTGGCCCTGAATCATGTCCTGTATCGATCGTCGAAACGTTCAAATTCTTTTCCTACTGTGCCGACTGATGAGAGGGTGCGTTACAAGGGGGCACCACTACGTTGTCATCCGGAGATATGAGTTGGCGCGACTGGATTGTCTCCATCCTGCTTACTGCCTCCTTTCAATCGCCATATCAGTAATTAGTTCTCTCGTCCAGAAATCTCGTAAAAACACGCCTGCGTGAGAGTTAATGTCTTTATGAAAACGACCTCAATATTTATGATTCCAATTACATCATAACTGCATTAATCTTTCCAGAACAAGAAGAGGAAACAAACATGTCGACGGAATGGAAGAGAGAGGTCGTGAGGCAACAGAAAGGGAAGGATTGTTGAAGTCGAGAACTGAAAAGAGAAAAGAGGAAATCGATTAAAAAAAAAAAAAAAAGAGGCGGAGAAAGTATTAATGTAGAAAATGAAAACGTTAATAAAGAAGAAATGGCGGTGGATGAAGGGGAATACAGCAAGACTGAAAAAACAAAAACACCAGAAGAGTCTAGAAAAAGAAGGGTTATTTTATAAGAAGAATAATCACAGAAAAAAGGAAAAAAAAGAAAGAAAGAAAGAAAATAGAAAGAAAAGGTGTAAGAAGAATTAAAGAAAGAAGAAGGAAAGGGATACAAGAAAATTGCAATATGAGAAAAAGAAAGAACAAAGAAAGTAAAATAGAATAAACTGTAGAGAGAATTGAGAAAAGAAAGAGTTAAGAAAAAAATGGGACTTGCAAAAAGAATTAAAAAAAAAGAAAATAGAAAGAAAGAAAGCAAGAGAGATAAGGGAAGTGAAAGAAGAATAAAAAAGAATAAAAGAAAAAAAGACAGTGAGGCAGACAGACAATAAAGAAAGAAAGAAAGAAAGAAAGAAAGAAAGGTAGGAGAATTGAGAAAGGAGTAAAAAGAGGGAAAAAGAAATATTTGCTAGACAAAAAAGAAAGAATGGGAGAAAGAAAGGAAGAAAGAAAGAAAGAAAAACAGAAAAAAATAGAAAAATAAAAGAAAGAATAAAGGGAAGAAAAAAGAAAGGAAGAATTGCAGTAAGAAAAAAACCCCCAAAAAACAAAGGAAGATAAACGAAAAAGAAAAAAAAAACGTATTTACAGAAAGAAAAAAGACAAAAGGCAGGAAGAAATAAAAATAAGAAAAAACAAAACAAAGTATTTGATGAATGACTGAATGAAAATTTGGACGAAGAAAAGAATGAATGAAAAAGAAAGAATGAAAAGAAAAGAACGTCCGAATGAAAGAAAACATGAATCTTTATAGAGTAAAACAAAATGGAAGAATGGACTAGAAAATACGAATAAATTGAAGGAAATGATGAATGAATCATGGATCAATGAAAGAAATAAAATGAAAAAGAATAGTAAAGAGAAATAGGAATGTATTAATTTCAAGAATGAGAGTAAATCAGAGAAAAAGAAAGAATTGGAAGAAATAGAGAAGGACTTCAAGGAAGGAACAAAGAAAAAATTTCAATTTCGCAATCTTTTTATTTACAGAATGAAAGTTAAAAGAATGAGGAAATACGGGAGTAGGACACAAAGAGGAATATGTCTTATACCAAGAAGGCAGAGAAAGCAACGGTATGACTGAAAGGACAAATATCATTAAATATATTAAGAGATAGTGAAGATAGATCGATCGATAGATAGATATATAGATAGATAGATTGGTAGATAGATAGATATGAATAGGCGTAGATAGATAGATAGATAAATAGATAGATAGATAGATAGATAGATAGATAGATAGATAGATAGGAAGGATTCACAGGAAGAGAGAATAATGAAAGCAAGACTGGCAGACAGCGAGAGAAATAGAAATAGTTTAGCCAGCAGAAAAGAGAGAAATAGGTTAAAAAATAGACGCCAGAGAGAGAGAGAGAGAGAGAGGGGGGGGAAGAGAACAAGAAACAAAAAAAATGATAGAGAACGATAAATGAATACTGAGACAGAAAGGCAGCTAAAGTCATATATATATATATATATATATATATATATATATATATATATATATATATATATATCAGATGGATTGTATATGTATAAGAGACAAAATAGACGAAGTATAGTTGGCTATAGTTTTTCTCTTGTCTTTTTTATTCATATAAATACATAAGTATATATATATATATATATGTGTGTGTGTGTGTGTGTGTGTGTGCGCACGTGCTTGTAAAGTGAGTGAAAGAAGGAGAGACAGTGAAAAAAAAGAGACAAAAATAGTGAGAAAAGAGTTGGAAGAGAATATACGTCACGTATTGCCATGTTTTGCAGAACGTGTATAACTTTGCACTCTTGCGGAATACACTTTACGACACATTTCTCATTATTTTCGCCTATTTTTTGCGCAGTTTGTCCGCCATTTTCCTGATACTTAATTATTGTCTCCCTTCTCGGGTGAAATAAATAAATAAAGAACAGAGAGAGAGAACAGTAAAATACTAAACAAGTCCCGAGGAAAAAAAATATCGTAAAAAGCAAAAAAGAACAAAAACGAAAATCGTTAAGGAAAAAAAAATGGAGGAAAAATCGTAAAATATGTGAAACCACAAATAAATAAATAAATACAAAAATATAATAAAACAGCACAAAAGAAATTAGAAACAAATAAAATCATGTTCGAAATGTAAATGCACCATAAAATAGTTGAGAAAATAAGACAAAAAAAAATGGAGAATTAAGAATGAGCGAAAAAGTGAAATAAATCACGTGGAACAACTAAGAAAACGTACTTTTAATATTAAAAAAACAGTCTACGTAAAAACAAAGAAAACTAAAGGGAATTAATCCTGTTAGAATATAGACGAAACAATTTTATAACTTAGATAAAAAAAAAGCGCAGAAGAAAAGAAAAAAAAAGTTAAAATAAATCTTTTATAAATTAAATAATTCTGAACTAAAAAAAATAGTCTAAAAAGCAAAAATAACAATACATATTCAAGAATAACACACATTTTCATGCTATCTTTGTGAAACTTTCCATTTGAATTATGATCAAATTACATAATTAATCTTTCAGTTTTTTTTGCTTTTATTTAAATTTCATTTGCTTTTTATCGCATATCACAGCTCTTCGCTAAGATTTAAATTCGCGCGCTTTTCCCCGGAAAGCCGAGGTCAATGAAGTAGTTCACTGGCTGATTAAACTATACAACCTACTGCTTGCAGTCACTTAATTCTAACCATATAGGCATTACTTATCTTTCTGAGTTTCTGATATATCACTTTATTTATTTATTCTTTTTGTCACTACTTAATGCATAATGAAACTGAACCGTGTCTGTTTTTAATAACCAGAAAATAGCGTGATTATAATTCCAAATATGTAAATAAAACCATATCAACGCCAGGAATGAAAGTGTCAGAGGTACGTTTTCATGTCCAACAATAGTGAATAGAAAACATGAAACTCAGATCTTTTTTTTTTATTTAAGCTCGCTAAAGAAACAGTTTTATAATTATTTAACATATTTTTAATGTCATTAACGAAGTCACATTATTCATTCATTCCCTATATCCCGTTTAATTCCGCTACACGCTCTTCGAACAAGAATGCTATTCCATAAATGCAGAAGTATACCAACGTTTCAAAGATAGCGTAAAAAGATTTGATGATTTACTACACAAAGAATTATATGAACTGTTAGGAAAATTTGATTTTTTTTTGTGGCGGGGGCGGGAGATAGAAGAATTAGTAATATTTAATGGAAACAAACTACTTGCATGCCATTGAAAAACTATTCATTTTTTTGAAGACGACTCTATATATTTGTATTTCCAATCGGGTTCTCCTCCGAATCGGCTTCATCAGAATAAGGATTTTATTTCAACAAATACTACATCAGCGAGAAAATACGTGGTTCACGTTAATCATATGGATATTTACTTTACATCAAAAGAAAACGTCTATCAAATAGAATCTAAACAATACGCTGAAAAATATATTGGTGAAACATCCCGAGCTTTAACAAAGAGAATAATAGAATATAACACGGGCAAAAAATAAACGAACACACTTCGTGTATTTGCATACAACCGAAATCTTCGGGATTTCAATTTTGACCTGGTATTAGCTTTTAATAGAAATTCAAATTTAAATTGTGTGGTTGTTTTTTGTTTAGCGGCATATCAACCTCTATGAGTTATTTAATACCAAAATTTGAATATTTTGTACGCAATTTTTTTTTAATAGTTTAATGGTTTAGTGATACAAATCTTACTAATTAACCCATAGTTAGGGTACTGGTGGATTCATACCTTTCCTAAGCATATTTGTGCGTAAGTGAATATAACGAACCCACCTTGAATCGGTACTCAGACTCTCCGATTTACAATTCTTTGTCATTATCCATTACTGCACAAACAAACTTACATCTCCTGGTATTCCCAAGCGGTCAACAATCTAGGTACTGACCAGGTTCGATGTTGCTTAACTTCGGTGATAGTACAGGAATTGAAATAAAGTTAACGTCTAATTTCTTAAACAACACAGGTAAAATCAAAATCAAACGTCTATATTGTTAAATTTAATTTACATTTTGTTTTTATATACAGATATTGTCGAAGTAAACTCCTTTTTCTAATGAAGCCAGATCATCAGAAAAAACATCGTAATAGCAGTTAAACTATTTTTTTATATATTTGCTATAGTAATGTAAAAATTAAAACAAACAAAAATTAAACCAAACGTTGATAAAAAGTGTGTGGAATGGTAAAGGTAATATTAGCCATTTCTCTACAAGGAAATATTTGGCATTCATTGACCGAGCAGCTAGTACTGTTTTCAGATGAATTTTATAAAATCTTTCTCTTAAAACATATTTTTTTAGTAAAACAGGTTTCTTAAGTCCACTAGCTTTCATCCCTCTTTCCAATATTGATGGGGGGTGTTCTTATTAGCCTTTTATTTGAAGTGTTGAATGTCAACATTTTGATTATGCTATAATTTCCGTTTGTCCCTCATTTTTTGTTGTTGCTGCTGTTGGTAGTCCTCAAGTGATGGGGTTTCTGCTGTTTGCTACAGTTCTCTGTAGTGCCAGGCCACAAGGTGCTATGATATGAAGGGATCAGTTTATCGATTAGACTTGTGGTTAAAGCAGTTGTCGCCTTTAAACAGTCTTCTGTGAATCAAAATAGACAGGTGAAACTCCCCTTCTTTAAATTTAATTCTGTACTGTTTTCTCACTATCGTAAATTGACGGCCTATATCTGTCTTCCTTTATGGCAGCGAATGCTGGACAATCGCGTAAAAGATGAAGAACAGACTTGAAACAACAGAAATATGGTTCTACAGAAAGATGCTGAGGATAACATGGGCCGAATATATTAGCAACAAATAGATTTTGGAGGAAATGGATACAAAACCGAAACTTATACTGAACATCAGGAAAAAAGCGGTTGAAATTTCTGGGGCACGTAATGAGGAAGGAGGGCTTCGAGAACCAGATACTCACAGGGCATATTTAGGTCAAGGGGGACAGCGGAGAGCAAGTGCGTAACGTGCTTGATGAGTTTGAGTAAATGCATGATAGAACAGGGTTTTGAGAGAAATAACAAAAAGGCAAAAATTATTAAGAGCTACAAGGGACAGGAAGATGTGGAGGGTCATGATCGTCTACGTCCTGAAGGGACACGACACATAAGGAAGTAGTAAAAATAACATAATACAAAGCGATTGACACTTAAGATGGAAGTAAACTCTATTCCAACCTTAATTATAATGGACAGCGAGTTTTATTTTTGACAAGAATGCCAATCTTTTTTTGTTTTTAATTTTTTTTTTATAACATCCTTTTCAACTTTTATTCCTGTATGCCCTTTCACCATTTTATTTATTTTCTTGTTAAGACTTTTTTTTTCTTTTCGCTGTTTTACTCGTTTCTAATTGACTGTTGACCAGAAAATACACGCAGGCGCAGATGCAAACACAAAATTGCCCAAACTAATTAGTTTCAAACAAACAATTCACTGTTTTATTCGGTCTTGTCTTTTTGATAAGTTTATCGTGTTTACACGATTACGTCTGCTTTTCTTCTATTGCCCGTGTTATGATCTCGGGTTTTTCTATTTGCGAATATTTTCGGAAGATAAAATAAATGTTATCAAATTAAAACCAGAGAACAATTAGTTTATGTAAAGGGAAAAAAGGAAAACTAGTTGTTTAAACGGGATACAAAAATACTGCCAGCCAACGGAACACAACCTGAATCTAATGTTAAAAAATAGTAAATCATAGAGAAACCTACCACAAAAAAGACATACATCACTTATGGTGTACATTGGGACGAGGAGTTTCCCCGGGAACCGGTATGTGGCAAGACTCGTCTATAGTAGGATTTTACAAGCAAGTAGTAGTTATGCAGGATGTGGAACTAGTATAAAGTATATTGCCTCCCAAATTGGAAATGGGCTCTGTTCAAAATCCGGGTTAGTCTTTTACGTTTTCATTCGTAAAAAAATGCCCTTACGAAAGGCATGAATTCATTCTCTACACCATACCAGCTCTGATTTAAAAAAAAAAAAAAAAAAAAAAAACAACAAAAAAACTATGCTGTCTAATAATGGATCGGAAACAGGTTTTTTACGTTTAATCAACTCTTTATTTAAACTAATGATAATTTTTGTTAGAATAATTCTTTTTTTTTTGTAAGTGAATATTGATTTAACAAATTTTTAATAATAATAATAATAATATGGCAGTCCCTGCAGACTGCAATGTATCTTTGAAGATATTCAAAAAGCTGTCAAAATACAAGGACCTTGAAATAGAAATATCGAAAATGTGGCATATGGGAACATCAACAATCCCTGTTATAGTTGGAGCCCTAGGATTGGTTGGAAAAGATTGCAGTAGACTAATTGAATGGATTCCTGGAAGTCCATGCCTCAAGTAGATACAAAAAATTGTTCTGACAAGTACAGCCCACACTTTATGAAGGGCTTTATCTATGTAATATTTTTTTTTTTTTTTTTGCAGTGGAAAGTGTCATGATGCCATTTCTAACCTTAGGTCCCTGGGCGGGACCCGGAAAGAAATGTGTAAACGCCAGAAATCAAAGAAAATAAAAATAATAATAATAATAATAATAATGTTTCCAGATACAAGTCCTACTGTTTAGCTGAGGGAAGTAGATGGATTCATATTTTACCCAAGGGTATTGGCTCTTAAGTGAATGTAACTGACCTGAAGGGAATTCGAACTCAGCTCTCTAGTTTCTCCTTCCAAGCCGTTATCCGGGATAGCAAGCAGAAAAAGAAAACTAATT